ACACAATGTGTTTTGTAATAAATASTCAGAAGTGCACAATCCATCCACATCCAGAGATGATGAGGTGTTTTGTATCAAGGCTGCACTGGGCATAGCCTGGCTAAAAGACTAGAGGAGTTATGGTAGTTTTGCCCTGTCTCCCTCACACCGAAACTCCAATTTAGAGCATTCTGTTTAGCTCAGTTGCCTGTGTCAGGATTTTTATGGGAGTCTTGCATCCTTTTCTACAAGTCCCACACATAATCACTCAGTATTTTCTTCAAAGAACAATAATAAAAATGGAAGAACAATGCCACAAGGAGCTGTTAAGGTTTTGACAGGGGTAAACTGGAATTAAAAAGTAGAATTTCTTTGGTCTACAAAACTGCGTTGAAAAATGTTAAAGTTTTTCCCTGGGAAGACTCTTGAGTATAAAATGATTGAAATAAAAATTTTAAAATCTACTTATCATAGTAAGTGAAAAAAAGGAAAACCATTGTCTTTCCATGCAATTTCCTGTGCTAAGAAAGTTTCCTTTGTTACACACTATTGATCCCTCCTGGGAATATTTTTAAATTATCTTTTACTATATGGGCTTCCAGCATATCTTCTGCCTCTGTTCATGTTCCTGCAGGAGACAGATGAGGTTTCTGAGGAATCTTTCTGCTAAAAGGGGATCCCTCATTTAGTACAATACTGTTACAAGTGTTCCTGATCTGCTGTCCAAATTCCTCTTGTCATCCCTTAGTGTAAATAGTGTTTCTCAGTTACAGGTAGGGTGTATGGCATGATGGCTGTATATTCTTGGCAARCAGAGAGTTGACAGCACTGATTTACACACAGAGTTGAGGATAATGGAATATTATTAAAGTTCTTGCCATGTAAATATATGTAAATATAAACAACTGTAAAGGAATTACTATTGAAAGTCTCTTGTACATGTAGTAGTTACCAAGGTAAATAATTATGTGTATTCTAAGTATCAGTATTCTTTCCAAAAMAGTAACTCTCCAGTAAATTCAAGTCCTCAGTGACAAACAAGGCATAGCTCACAATTTGCTAATGAACAAATATGTATCACCATCCTTTTAGAAAAGACCATTTTAATTCTTTGGTTTATCTCAATTTTATTTTTAAATTTTGTTTTTGGTTAAGTCACAATCAGAAGCAGTTCATCAACACTTTTATTAGGTGGAACTTGTGAAAAAGTTCTATGTTCCTGAAAGTAACTTCAGAAAATGGGAATTTTGAGCCTCATAGCTTTTAAATCCATTTAATTTTTTTTTGTGATTTACTGTTTTCAGTTCTCACCTATATGAGGCCTGTATGGTAGATGTGTCACACATAATTTTTCTGGTTTTGTTTGCCATGGGACCTGAATGTGCTTAGCATTTTTTAGACCCTGTCTCTTCTCCAGGAAGCCCCAAGTACATCTGGAGAAGCATTCCTTTAGCAATATATTTGCTTTGTAAATATTTTTCCTTTCATACCGTATTTAAAGATACGTTTTGCACAGACACAAGTATTTCCAGACCAGTCTGCATTGCTTAAGGCTGCACCCAACATACACTGCTTTACTTCATTCTAAAAAAATAAAATTAACCCTACTCTGCAACTGGCACCCTCTTCTGCATAGTTATAGTGGACCTGAAGTAAAGCAAATATTATCTTCCCCATASGCTCTCTTTGTATTATTTTTCCAGGCTGAGAAACAACATGATATCAGTCACACAGGAGACCTGCTCTACTTGATCTGCAGGGACCTAACTTCCTTGTCCCCTGTGGAAGGCTTACATCTCCTTAAGTCTCATAATTTTTTTTTTTCAGTGTTATGCAATCCTTGACCACAGCTTAAGTTGAAATCTTAATCACCTATTTTTCACCCCTAAAAGGCTGCATAACACCASACTTTTGGTAACACTTTTACTGTTCCTACATGAAAAAATTCACATTACCCTCTCTTCCCCCAGATATTCCTCTAGCTGCTGAAGTTACAAAAGAYAAAACCAAGCAACCTGCTTTCATGTTGATCCTTCCTTAGTGTCAGGCTGAGTGCCCCTAACATAGTCACCACCTTTGCCCTTCAAGTGAGGCAGCAAACTGCTACCTCCTGCAAGTCTAAAGAGAACTCATCTTTCCCTTTGCCCTCTCTCTGGCTGACATGGGGGTCTCCCCAATCCAGAGGTGGAGCAGCTGGGACACACCTGGAGTCATTTGCCTCCTCATGGACCAACTCTCCCGTCCCACCCACACAAGGTGGCACTGTTGGTTTTCACTGTATACATGTACTCTTCCACCTTCCCCAACAGACTTAAAGGCCGTGATTTTCAAATTTCTTCTGTTTCAAACTTTCTTCTTCTTAAAGGCCGTGATTTTCAAACTTTCTTCTGGATCCCTACTCTTTTCCTGTTTGAAGAGTGGGCCTAGTCAGACATTTAACATGGGGAGAGTGCTCTGTAGGACTTGTTCTCCTGTCTCATTCCTGGAAGTCACCAAAGCAGTACCCTATAAACCCACAGGCCTGTACAGTCTATATTTATGTTGCTGGTGAAGTCAGTGTCTAGTAAAAGCACAGCCTTTGAACAAGCACAAATAGAGATTCAGATCTTTTAAGAGTATGTAAAAAAAATCCCCATGGTAGACAGAGATGTTTATTCTTTAAAAAATTATAAATACCTTGAATTAAATTACATAAAGTAATTCCAAGCGGCAACTATGATCAATACATAATATATAATCCCCCCACTTTTGCTGTGCCCCCTATTACTGCTTTTATCTCCCTTATATACTATTGCTTTCTGAATATGCATATTCTAAAAAAACTTSCTTAAATTTGCTTAGGCAGGGAATTTCAACTTGATCTGTTTCTTCTGTGCCCAATATTCTTCACTCACTCTGCCCACTTCAGCCCATTTAAAATTTTTAGCAGCTGAAGGGAGAGTTTGTTTGCAAAGGAACACTCAAAGAGCTCTTTAAAGCTAAACTGAAAAGCAAGTTATAATGGACTTAGTTATCCCTCAAAACAGTTACATTTTCTTGATCTCTACACCACTCAAGTGATGCTTAAATATTAAAAGTATTAACCAGCTAATAGCTCTAAGAATTCCACATTGCCTTTCACTCACTGGCACCCACTTGGCTTTAAGTGTCTTGCCCATCTTAAATTGGGCCYGTTGAATTTGCCAACTCAACATAATAAATTACTAGATGATTATAAAATCCCTATTTCTGATCAAGGGCTCTCCTTTGAGGAAACACAACATTCCCTAAATAAGAATCAAATCAACAGCAAATATGATTGAAGACAGATGAAACTGATAGTAATAGTCAATTGAACACAAAAGATGGATCCTTATAAAGAAATTGAAAGTAAAGAGTAGCGAATGCTCACTTTGTCCATACATCCAGAATGACTCACATACACCACTCTCCTACATGCCTTTTCCGATGCAAAAAAAAATCCCTTTTCCCATGCAAAAGCAAAACTTGCAACTTTCAAGTGAAAAAGAAATGAAATGTAGGAAAAGATTGTTATTCCATCACTTTTCCATTTTAAAATGTACCATCTTGAACAGAAAAACAGTGCTACTTGTCTGCTGACAACTGGTAGATGAAGAAGACTCATTCCCTACTGCTGGCTGCCAGTTTCTTTTCATTTCCAGAAAAGTGGATCTTCAATACATAAAATCAGGACTAAAGTCTTCAGGATATGAGTGTCAGATTCCTAGAAATAATCACATGATTTCAGCAACCTCTGGCCATGACATAGTACAAGAGGGACAATTATTTCAGTGTTAAAAGAATTCTTTAAATTCTGAATGTTTCATCTACAASAACAAGACAAAAGATAATATATCTATAAGGAGTCATATTCCACAAGTAAACCTTTCCCAGGAAAATGGTAGTCAAAGGCCCAGCAACCATGCCCAGACTCTGGCAGAAGAGGCAAGACACACCMGCTCAGGATGTGTTTCTATTGTCTRTGCTGTCCTCACTCCCAGACACAGCATTTATGGTGGTCCCAGCCACTCCTAAGTTATACCTCCAGTAAGGTTCTCCAAGTATAGCAATGCTCAGCAATTACTAAGAAAGACTGGATTTATGTTATTCTCCCTTAACAATTATGCTAGGTTGAGGGGGCACCGTGGAATTCTGAGACCTTGTGTTTGCTACTCCCAGAATTTCTAACTATAGCTTTCCTTCTAGTGAGAGACCTTCATGGGGCCCCCAAGTAAATCAGGGACAGGGCTARAAAAGAAAACTAGAGCTCCTTAGGAACAGTAGGGGCTCTATATACATATTCTGAAAGCACAGTCCTATACTATTTAAAACTATCTATTTATAAAATCTTCATGGATCTTTAAATATGAGWGGCACTTCAAAAATTAGCTTGACTTACAGACATTGTTTATCACATGACTAATGCAGCAACATTAGAAGATCATACTAATAACCATTAGCAAGCACATAGCTAACCACCAGCTTAACCTTTAGTTCTACCAGCAGGACAAAGCTGTATTTTAACTCTACCTAGTGCTTAGAAGTTCACTGCAGCCACAGCAAAGGAACTGGGTATCAAAATGGCAGGCAAGGCAAAACCCTTTTTTTTCCAGATCATATCAGGAAGGTTTAACCTATCATAGTGTTATTGCATGCAGCAAAAAACATGAGGAGTTTTTAAWTTATTTTCCACAGCAAAAATTCTGTTAGTAGGTCTGCAGTAGTCTSGGAAGTCTCATGATGCATGACAGTGATACAGTCCTACAGTTCCACTGACCCACGTGCATCCCTGCAGGAGTGTATTCATCAGGATGATGCACAAATATGGAAYTGCTATCATTTAAAACAGATTTTCTATTTATTAATGCAATATATACAGATCCAGGTTTGGAGAAATTAATCTTCTTTCCTAATCCAACTTAAACACCTGCTGTTGTGGCAAATAGAAACCTCTCTAATATACAACCAGCATCAGGTAAACGCAGCTAATGAAAGGATATAAAGCGAGGTCTATGCTTTAATCGTTATTTCTATTAGAGCTGCTGGGAGGACCCGAGGCCACACTGCGGGCACAGCCTAAGAGGCTTTCGGCTCAGCACGCACCACTCAGATCAGCGTGTGAAACTCTGTCCGCTGTTTCACCGCGAGCAGCGCGGCCCCGCCGCACCCGGAGCGGCTCCACAGGTCCTGCTCGGTGCCGGCGGCRGGGCCGCGCCGCTCGATCGGTACCGGGGCTCCCGGCCCCGGGGGAGCGACCCCTCCTGCGGGTACCGCAGCCCCGTCCTCCATCGCTGCAGAGACCACCCGGCCTTCGAGGCCCCGGTACCCGGCCTGGGCGGCGGGAGCGGAGCGGAGCGGAGGAGGGAGGGCTGCTCCCCCCGCGCTCCGCAGCGGCCCCGGCCCGGCCTTTACCGATGCACCGCACGTAGTGTTTTGCAGGAAGTTTCCACGCTCCTGGGTTTAATCCGTGCAAAGCGGGGCTGGAGAAGAGCGCGGCTGAATAGCGATGGAAAGGGGCGGGCGAGGAGGTGGAGGAGGAGGCGGTAGCAGCAGCGGCCGTGTTTAATTTTTTAATTAGGGCGATTTGAGCATCTCCCGGCGGGGTCGCATCGCCGGGCGGCGAGGGGAGCCCGGGCGAGGTGCCCCCACCGCCCGGGACCACCCCGTGCCCCGAGCCGTCGGGACTCCAGCCTGGGCTTTCGACAGCTGGCGAGGCGGGCCCGCAGCCGCGGACAGCTCCGCGCTCCGCCACCATGGGCAGCGCGGGCGCGGAGGAGAAGGGTTCGTAGCGCGGGCGGCGCGGCGGGGCGGGCGGGGCGCGGGGCTGACCTTGCGGCGCCGCCCGGCCCGGCCACACTCCCGGCGGGGCAGGGGGGATGGAGGGAAGCACCCGGGGCGGCACGGGGAGGGTGAGCGCCTAAATCTGCCTTTCCCGGGGTACCGGGGCCGGGGACAGCGAAGGCTGTGCGCGCCATCCTACAGCAACAATTGCTTTGCAGGTGCTCGATCTCTCGCAGCCTCCATCCCCTGGGAAGCCGGCAACACTTTTCCACATTCACAAGTTAAGGAAGATGCTAGTGAACRTTTTATCTTCCTGCATCTCTATATTATCCAAATCTAGACAACGTTATGAATTCACAACCCAGCTTTTGTCCACTGAAGACTCCAAGCTCATGTATTTGCTACGAATAAAATCTTATTTTTTGCAATTCATTGTCAGAAGGCTGGAAGTGTCACTGCTTGGCTGCTGCTTCTTTGCAGGGGAATGCTGCTTATGTGGAAAAGTGTTGCTTGCACCCTGAGTTACCATGCTGCAAAATCACTGTGTGTGGCTCTGTTTGCAGAGCTGTGAGCCGTGCCTTCATTTGCTGAGCATCCATGCCCTGGCCTTCCTCCCTTCATCTCTCTGTATGTCTTAGAACCCATACCCTGAAGAGACAATKCTCTCCCCAGCAATTTAGAGCATACAGGCATGCAGTGAGCACATGAGTATGACAGGTGCACTGYGTGGTCACAGTGCTCCTTTTGCAGCATTTCGGGCCGTTTCTTCWACCATTTCAGGTAGTTCAGACTCTTTAGAGATTTCTATTCTGATAGAAATGATGATTTCTATTTCTACTCTATTTTGTAGGACTTCTCCATTGTTAATCTTGTCATCTTACCACCTTCTATGACCAATTTCTGTAATAGCATTTCTGGAAYACAGTTTAGTTCCCCTGAACCGATACTTAAGTGCAAATGGGGTTCTTTCAGAGCTCCCAGAGAATGCCTGTTTACATGTCCCTTTTTAAGTTAAGTTTGCTCTTACTCAAGCACAGGCTCAGGGCTTAAGCTATTCGAAATACTTTCAGAATGACCACATCCATGAACCAGCAGCTGGGYTGCAGACATCCAAGAAGAGAACAGATGGCCACTGATTTGGTCCATTTTGTTACAAACTATCATTTAGGAAGTGAGTTTTTAGGCACCTGAGGCTTAATTGTGCCAAGAGGATGAACGCTCYCAGCTTGAGACCATGTAAAGATGTTCATTTCCAGTACTGAGAGCCATTAGAAAAAAAAATCCTAGGGGGTTCTGAAAGACAAGGACTCAAACCCAAAACAGGAGGAAGATTATCCTGGTTACTTTCTCGATCTTCTCAAACTCTCTGTAAACATTAGAGTAACAGCTAGGTCTGAAAAAAGYCACCCTGTCACCCCAAACCACCAAATACCTGGGGCAGGGGTCTTCAATCCACACCAAAYACTGGCAGAGTTGGGCTGGTGATTCTGCAAGAATCAGAATTTCAACATCTTCCTTTCAGCTGCCTCACAATACCTGGTACCCATGGTGTTCCACCCATAGGTGCAGCCAGCACCCCCAGCTCATACCTMTGTTTTACTTAGCTCTTTCTAAGCTGTTTTCTTCATTCCTATCTACCTGGGGACTCTGATTGTTTCTTCTGGCTTCTGAAGGGCTTCCAGTGGCCTTTTATTTCACAGGATTGTGATGTTAAGGAGCCTTTCTTTTTGCCAGTGTTTTATATAGGTAACAAATCCAAGGAGAAGAAGAGTCCTGATATGTAAAAAAAGATCAAGCTCAGTCTGGGGCCAGCCCCCACAAAATAGCTCTGCAGATCTAATGGATATAATGCCTGTCACTATGATGCTCTCCTAAAGGCTATCTTTGAGGATTTTGGGATCCAGGCCAGGTTAGTTAGCATTCACAGCCTTCTGACTCAGGAMTTTGACAGACACACTGCAGCAAATGGCAGGGTATCTGACTAACTGGGAGAGGACATCTAACTTGTGTGCAGCACGAAAATGTGAAAACAATAAAAGCTACTCAAGGTCAGTCTTAGTACCACAGTTTTGAGGATACATAACTAGGATAAAATTTCCTGTGAACTTTAAGGCTTCAATGACAATTTCTGAAATTCAGAACAAGGAACAGAAGAACACAAAGCTSCACATCAGAGTTTCTCAGAACCAATGCCCCCCTCAGCAAAATTCACAGTTTTCTAATGCAGCTTTTTCAAGCAAACTTTTGTTAAATAAAACTAAGACATCAATTTCTCCATATTTCAGCATCAATCAAGCTTTGCACAGAGATCTGTCCCATAATGTCTCCTGACAAGCACATAATATACAAACAAATTCCATCTAATTCAGTGTGTAAGCTGCAAAATTAGTAAGAGTGGAAGTCATATTCTTGGAAAATTACTCTCTGTGGTGAAGAAATGTCATGTCAAACACAAACATATTTGTCTGGACTCAGCTCAAATTCWGGTTTCTCCATGGCCAGCCTATCCCTAATATTCTTCTCAATATCTTTCAAGAGAGCAACCAGATTTTTTGGGTCTGGCTTTTCCAGATAGTGGCTCTGTATTATTTTCCTGTATAAGCCTTGTTTTTAATTTTTATAACCCAGTGCCTTGGGACTTTTGGAAAGTAATTTTTTTCCTTGACTGGCTTTTGCTCAAGCCAACTGATTTCTAACATAAATTTGTGATATTGAACTTTCTGTGATTTTTTTTCCTGCAGAAGGTCAAACTTAATAGAAAAATTGGAAGTATGCCCAATGAAAATCCATACAGCTGGTGGGCTTTACCTATGATGTATGTTCAGAAAATAAATATTGCTTGTAGTTGACATTACTTCTAATTCCCATAGGCTTTCCTCCATCTTAACAGGAATTAAAACAGCATGATCCAAAGAATAGAATATAATTCAAAACAAGGAAGGATCTCATACACAGCTCTATAGAAGAAACAGAACATGGGTTGTATGCTCTGGCAAATGTGTAAAGRCTAATAGGAAACCTTATTACTTTTTATCTACTATATTAAGGTTTATTGCTAAAAAAGAAATACTTGTGTTTTGCCCTTTTGATTTCTGTTTTAAAATTTTGGGGTTTTAGGATAATAGTCAAAAATCCCACAAATTTTGATGCGAGAAACAAGACACCAAACAAGATAGAAGTTCTGTCCATTTCTGTCTGCTCAGGAACAGCAAATTTTATTTTACTCTTTCTGTTGTTTTTCCTTGTAGGCTGACTCAGATTATGGCTCCTCTCAGCCATGACTGCAGTAGAGAGTAGAGATACTGGAATTCCCTTTAACCTGGCTGAGMAGTGCAGGTACCTGAAGCAGTGCAGCCATGGCAGCACAGAGCTCTGAGTGGCCTAATTACCCTGCCAAGAAATAAATGGATACTGGTAATTCCCTAGAGAAAAAGAGGTTGAATTTTTAACAAAAAGAGTTTTTCCTCGAGGCACATTCATTAAATAGGTGTTAGCAAGGGCCAGAAAACCTCAAGTTCTAACCTTAGAATGAAYATGTCTYTGTCCTTTAGCACTTTTGATGTCCYGGTCCTTCCAAATCTCCCACTGTCTATWGATACAAAAAAAAGACATGAGTCCCATATGTGAAGGAAAACCTAAATAAAGCAAAATGATYCCYCACACCAAACTAAAATCTATACATRAGGTCTCTTTAAAAAGACAAATGGAAAAAGTTTCTCGTGTCTGGAAACATGCAGAGCACTCCTGGTGGCATCTTGTGTGCCTCCACAGGACACACATGAGGGTCAGTCCCCTGAGCAACACGAGGAGCACGGTCCCATCTCCTGTTTACTACACCTGTAAAAATTGCAGGGTATGTATGTTCTTATGGGGAACACCAAGGAAAAGAAACAAATGAGAGCAAGATTTAGGRGAAGGAAATTTAAATCTGTTATCTCTTCTTCCACCAATCTTTGCTCATACACAAGAGTGGACACGCACAGAGGAAGGTGAAGGGGTAATTTCATCTATCTGCTCACTTTCTTACAAGCTCAAAATACATGCAGCATTTTTTTCTGAAACTGGAGCCCAAGAGATTTCACTAGAATTGCAGTCTTTTATTTTACAAGTTGGATCTATTTATTTAGACTCGGAGCTAAATCAAATGAGCAAAATCCACATTATTTGGCTGAAATTGTCTTTGAGGTCAAGGCAAATTTAACTAGTTTAAACACAGAGATGTAAAGGCAKTTCAGAAAACATACCAGGTTTCTCCAGGTGGAGAACTCAGAGTATATTGCCAAATCACAATCTGTAGACTTGTGCCCAGTCTGACAAAATGCTGTTTGCAACAACTGAAATTTCTGTTTTGAGGAGAGAGAAAGCCATAAAATTTAGAGTTTGCTGTCTCAAAGCAGAAGCCAGTATGTGAATGATGTGGAGAGGCTAAAAGTTGCAACTTTATCACATTAATTTAAATGTGRAAAAACAACAGGACAGTTCTAAAATCCAAGCTGGTTTTCATTTTCAAATGTTCATGCGCTACAGCTCAGATATATGCACCCCATTTAGAACTAACCACAGTGATTTGACGTTTCTATGCAGGCAAAGAAGCTATAGAGGTGAAAATCCCACCGAGTCACCAGGATGTGATGCCCAATGATGAGCAGTAATTACTGCAGCAACACTTCAGCCAGCATGAGTGTCAACGAAATGTCTACCTTCCCTCTGACTTTAGAACAAAAAACTGGCTTTGCCTTTGTGGGGATTTTGTGTGTTTTCTTGGGACTTCTAATTATCAGATGCTTCAAAATCTTGCTAGACCCCTACAGCAGTATGCCTTCTTCCACGTGGGAAGATGAAGTTGAGGGGTTGGATAAAGGAACATTTGAATATGCTCTTGCATGAAAACTCACAGAATATCCTGCCTTAAATTTGATGTTGATTTCATTTTGGAAACCAACTGTTGTTACATTTGTTATACATACCTGTATTTTTGAGATATGTTGGTGGCTTCCATTTTGTTAAATAAATATTTGTTGCAAACTCAAAAGGCATTTCATGTTGCTTTTATGCGATGAAGAGTGGAATGGTACATAASAAATGGTTAACAGCAAACAAATACATAGTAGTCCACTAGAAAGTTACCATGYCCAGTGTTTTAAGTATCAGATGATATCTGGCTCTTCAGAAGAGGATCTCATATATACTTCAGGCTCAAGAAAAAGACTAAGAACACAAAAGACAGGCTTATAAATGGTGAATGTTTAAGTGGTAGCTCCCTTCCCTCCTCATCCAACACATCTTTCTGAATCTCAGTGTCCATACTTTTACACTGAGGATACAAAAGTGGAGGACAACAAATGGCAGTGGCTTAGAGGAGGAGTCTGCAAGAGGTGTGTGTCCAGTTTTTATTCCACTCRGTTACTGAAGATGATTCAGTTTAAAGTGGAACTGAAACTGTCTGGTAAATAGCTCCCAGCAGTAATTACACCAGCTTGGCAAGGCCAAAGCACACACAGTCATGCTGCTTACCCATTTCTACCCAGTCCCCAGGAGGGACAGGGTCCAGAGCTCTGCACACTCCAGCCACTATCCACAGCTCATTCTGTTTGTGCTCCTGCAGGTGTGCACCGTATGTGATCTGGACTGTCACTGATGAACTGGTCATGGAAGATCCTATCAAAGCAGAAGTGAAAGAGTGAAAGCAGAGACTCAAATCTGGATATTCAAGGTGACCCTCATACACACAGCTGTCTAGCAAGTGTGACAGTACTTGACAGAAATTCAATTCTGTTTTTAAGAAGGCTGGCATTAGAATTTTAGACACTGTCACTTTTGCTAAACAGCTCTGTTTGCAATGAGGAGCTAAGTCAAGGGGATCAGTTACAGCAGTTGTTTTCTTTYTCATGTATTCTGAAAAATGCATGTTTTTCCTTTTGCCCTATATACTAGGCACAGGCAGACTGGAACTGCAAACCTCAAGTGCCATTTGTAATATGAAATACTTGATTGTACAGAGAAAGACATCAATTTCCTGTCTGAAAAATACAGAAGAGGAACAGCCAACATTAATCTACATGAGCCCATTCAAATTATAAAACATCAACAACTTTGTCAATGTGAGGGCTTTTCAACTGCTTCAGATTATACATCAGGAAAAATTCCAGACTCTCAGAAATTCAGTATATTGGATTTATCCTAGTCATTTTAGCCATAAAATCCAAGGTAGAYATCAGTACAATGATTCATGTCATCTGTTATTGCTGGATAGGGTCATCCACTACAGAGACCTGACRCTGCCATTCTTTTTATGTACATCTAATCAGCACAGCTGAGCTCTGAAGAGTGCTGAAGGTACTTAAGTTATCTGGGTTAAATATAGTGCAGTTATCTCTACACTACACAGCAAACACAGCAAACATATCCAAAGAACCCCAATATTGTCTTATTACTTTTGTTCTTGACCCAATCTATTGCTGGAAGCAATCATCTAATTCCCTTATAATTACAAAGCTTCATCATTTCCTGCCTGCTCTTTTCTGCATCCCAAAAAGACAAGTCAGCCTTCCCAGAAATAAAAGAGAGCATAATTTTTCAAAGGTTTTCCTTAAATATACAGAGTAAAACTTTAAATAGGGTCAGGAACAAATGGTTTCAAACCACATGTAGGGCAAGAGGACCCCCCTAAAGACTGATCCTACTGACTTCACTGAATATTCTGCATAAAATACAGAGAAGATCCTGCTTGAACTCTTGTTATCTGCATGGTTATACATGCAGAACTGAAAGATAGAGAGAATATGATCTGTGCAGAATCAGGCATAGCTGGGAGGGAAATGGAGATAACAAAAGTATTTTCAGGCCCCCTTAGAAATTTTGCAATGCCATAAACCCAGTAATTGTAATGGATAGGTACATTTGCTAGTTAATAGTTAACAAGAGAGAATGCCTTTCTAAATCACCATCCAGAAATGTTTTGAAAGAGAGGGATTGGATGGTGTATCCAGTATATTAAACAGGAGAAAAATCTGGCCAATAAGGCAGAGTCTGTAATGCCTCAAAGAGAGGGTCACACTACATGCATGAATAAAAGGGGCACATTGTCCTTCCCTAAAAACACTGGATTGAATGGTAAGTTAAATTACCCTGAATAAGGTAAACTTGATTATTTATGCATAATGCTAGAAAATTAATGGCAAATAACAGTTCAGAGATCTCAGGAGAGATACTGTGAAAACCAACTATTATTTTCAAGAACAACAAAAAGGTAAGAGACTTTACTTTTTCTAGCAAAACAGCAATATGGAAATAAGACAGTGAAATGACAGAATTATTTTACTTGGTAGCACAAGTTTCACTGTCATCAAAGAATCAGGATTTCATTTAGTCATGGAGATGGAAATAAACCTAGTGTCATTGACCTCTGACGGAAGATTTGTTTTTGCTCCTCCATGCCTGAARATGAAACACTTCCTTGCAACTTTAAAAGGCTAAAGGAAGCAGAATACGATCTATGAACATAAATTTATAAAATAATAATAATAGTAGTAGTAGTAATAATAACAATAATAACAACAATAATAATAACAATACAAAGCCAGTAGAAGTAAAATAAACTAAATAAATGTAATATGTTGCTGTGAGGCTTACAGAACATTAAGCAGGAAAACCAACATAGATATGAGGGGTGACAAAGTGGTGTCTTTAGCAGAGAGGTGACAGCAACAATTACCTATAGCTGATGGAAGAAATGAGAAAACATGCTTTAGCTGTATCTCATACTGAAGATGGAGGACATCTGATTATCAGCTCTTCAAATTATGATTTGGATATGTGATTTTAGAGAAAATTTACACTGCTGAGCCATAAATATTGATGCAGGATTTTATCTTTCAGTGACAAAAGGCCAAATGCATTTCACAAAATTACTGAGAAATTTCAATTGAAAAAATCCTAGGAGTTCATCTAGTCCAACCCCTTTGAAAATATGGAACTTTAAAACAATGTCTGTAATGGGCTTATTTATCCAGATTTTCAGTTAATGTATTTGTTTATAAGATATATTTTGTCTCTGAAACTTTCTGCTTTTACAAAAGAGTTGCAGAGTTTCAATGTCTAAGCATGCTCTGGTTTAAATTTAAAAAACCTGGGCTCCTACAGAACTATACAGGTCTATACAACTGCACTCCCCAATCTCCTTAGAAATGTGTTTCAAGACATATGCCACCATTTCAATAGCTCATTTCAGGGCATACTTTAAAATTCTGTAAAGATACTTAACCCACTAAAGGCCTTAAATATACGTTCCCCTTCTTCTCTTGGAGCTTTTGTTTGCTCATTCATTTTCTCTGAGGGGGTCTGTGTGGGAAAGAGGAGGTGAGAAGCAGATTATACAGCTGTATGTTCACCCCTCAATGCACTGCCACTCGAGTGACCTGGACRGTCCAGAGGAATGGGCCAACAGGAATCTCATAACATTCAACAAGGATAAATGTAAATCCTGTACATCAGACAGACTTAATATCTGCACTATGCAGGGAGCAACTCTCCTGGAAGTGAATGGGTGAGCATCAGGCTACAGAGGAGTCAGCCTCAAGTTATACATGTGTTAGTTCCAAGCTAACATGGATGCTCAATGTGTCACTCTGCCCTTTTGTGGGTTTTCATAAAATGSATTGAAACTAGAGGAGTTCTTGGTCCATTTAAAGCTCAGGCCTTTACCTTCTTTGGAGCTTCTACCAAACATCTGCTCGTTTGGTTAGAGGTCAAGTGCATCTGTCACAGCTGGAAACATCTTCACAAACTCTGCCTTTGCTTCAATTATGTCTTCACTCAATGAGTCACAGGATGACAGTCTCATGGATACTTGGTAAGGCATGGGAGAGGGGGAGAGCTTGTAGTAGAAAACGTATCTAAACTGCAAGATAATAGAAACAGTTTATTTTTATCTTTTATAGAAATAGTTCATTTTTATCTTTTATWGAAATAGYTCATTTTTATCTTTTATAGCAGAAAAACAGCAGCCAACATTAGGAAGACTTCTAAGAGATTCACAACAAAATTCACAGAACTTCATTATTTGAAGAGCAAAGATCTGATATGCAACAGCACTAAACCCTTTGCTGTAGCTGCAACTAAGTGGCTGCAGCCACAGAAGAGCACACGGATCAGTGACCTAAGTCTGTAGCATCCCTGAAGATGTCAATGAACAACGCACCAAATGTATTCTTGGATCCAAATGCAAATCGCTTTCAAGTTAACATAATTMATGAAGACCATGACAACAATGAAACAACCCAAGAGGATGTGGGCTCTGACCCACCACATTATGAAGAAACATCTTTTACTGAAGAAACACATAACAGACTGAGAATCAGTTACAGACCAGGAAAACGAGAATTATATGACAATTTCCTTCAAAATGGGGAGAAAACAGAAGCTAGCTTACATCCCTATGATACTCACAGTAAAATGTATTATCTACAAACTTTCGGCCATAACACAATGGACCCAGTTCCCAAAATTGATTATTATAGAAACACTGGCAGCATCAGTGGGAATAAGCTCAACAGACCGAGCTTATTAGAAATTCATGAACAACTGGCGAAGGTAAGTGAAAAAGAAAGATATGTTTTTTCTCTATTCCAGTTCCAGACTGTTAATTCTGTTTCCTAATAAGAAAAAGTCCTTAAATTCATGGACCTTGCCCAAGAGAAAAAGTACAAGTAACTACTTACCATATTTCCTTTGGTAGCTGCAGTTTGTTTTCTGCTCTGTACCCTGCTCAAAGCAAAGATTTTTATTAAAAGGTAATCGTAATGTACTTGATAGGCAGAAAAACACAGCTTAATCTTGTCTAAAAGTGCGGATCTACCAAATCTCTTCTGTTTCACATAAGAGTTAGGATGGCAGATGGTGAATGTCAATTCATAATTTAACCAAGCTACACAATTCACACTTATTCTAAACTTGAATTTTACATCAGTGCATAACTAATTTTGACATATTCTTCCATTGTACTCATTAAAAAAATATAGGTATTGTAAAAATACTATGYGCAACAAATGCAATTTCAATTAATCAGAAATCCAGAACACAACCTGTTTGTTGCTGTAACAAGCAAGAAAGAATCCAGAACAAGGGTTACRAGTGATAGCAGACTACAGTTTTCAGGTGCTGACTCAGTGAACACATCTCAGGTAAACTGTACATTTACCAGGGCAGGGCTGGAAAGAGAAAGATCATTGCTATAGTTAAACTGAGACTGAAGTGTCAACATGCAGCAAAAACTCTTGTTCTTTTTTCTGTGTTAGGCAACAGTGAAATGAGAAATCTTGAGAGAAAACAAGCTCTCATCCCCATTCCCCTCACTTTTTCATACATCTGAGGTCTGAATAATTTGRATCTGATTTTTGCATGCTGGTCCAGATCTTGTTCAGACTTTTGTTCTCTGGAGATTACTCTCTTCTAAGGAGGGTTAACACAAAGTAATGAAATCAAGAAAAAATACAGCCATTAGTAAATGAGGACCTGATTCCTTAGGATCTTATTAGGGCAGCCTCCTAGTTTTGGCCTGACTTACTCAAATTAAGGTCTCCACAGACCTSTGTGAAGTGGCTTACAAGGAAAGGAGAAGCATTTCCAAAGATGAAAACAAAACAGATAGGAAAAGGGAAAAAATATTAATTCAGTATCCCTATTCATCTTCAGATGCACAAACCCTACTCAAAGGACTAAACACATTTCCATGACCAGAAGAAACTCTCTCTTATAGAAATAATTTACTTCAGTAGTGGCCAAAGAGGAGTAAAACTGTGTCTTGGCTTTGAACATAATGCTGAATGAACATGTACTGAACATTAGCATATTAAAGGATTTTCAGTTTTGATCATAACCAGAAAATTCCAAGGTTTTTACTATTGTATCTCTCAATGGTTTGTATATTTTAAACAAAATTAGATAAATCTGTTTAGGTTTTTTTTAGGACTTTCACTTAAAGAAGATTAAAAGAAGGCACATTACATCAMAGAATTATGAAGAGAAAGTTCTTTCACAGGTTGGGACTGTTAGGAAAGAGAAAAGAGCATAATCTAGCTTGGTCATTTCCAGACTTTTTCCAGTATCTAGAATCCATCTCACAGAAAGATAATCTTATGCCTTTCAAAACAGGAAGGTGAATGTCATAGGTAATGGGATTTTTGTTCCAATGGCAACCTGCTGTGCCCTTACGTGGGTTGTGGCCTGGCTTGGGAGCACAAGCACAGCTCTGGAACAAACGAGGYCCCATTAGCATGGCTGGAGCCAATTCCTGGATGTCCCATGGTCTCACTTGGTGACCTTGGACAAATCACTCCGGTCCACAGAGCTTATTCTGAAGAGTAAACAAACACGAGGTCACCAAATAGGAGTTAGCAGGGAAGGGAATTGAGATGTCTGAAAAGGCAGAGCTCCTGTCAGGAGGCACAGGCTGTGTGAGCACTGGATGGGCTCCATCCCCAACAGGGAGGGGATGAGATGCCACACTGAGTGCAGACAGGGTTTACMGTGACAGCCCAAGGTGCACTTCTGAAGCAGATGCTTTATTCCTTTTTTACTTAACCACTAAAATCTGGGCTTGCCAAACCATACCCCAAGGCAATCCCACCCCCCTCGCCCACAATTTGAAACTCAAGTTGTTGAAGACAACTGTTCTGTCTGAGCCCATTGCCAGATTCTGACAAGTGGCATATGTTTGACTTCAGATTGCTAAACATCACATAAGCATTCCCATTGTGCTTAGATGCTAGGCTTAACATCAGAAGATAAATATTAATATTTAATAATTTTTTTAATATGTARTTTTTCAACTGTCAAAATGTAAAACAGACTGAAAGGAACTTCAAATACCTAGTTTCTACACTGCTGGAGTCAAATGTGTGTCATCTTTTAGCAAGATATGTCAGTTTTTGCACACATTAAGCCAATTAAATCCCTTAAAAATAGTCTAAGTGCTATTTCACAGCTGATGGCTGGTGATAATTACTTGGGCTTAATATTTATCCTACATAAGAAATAATCTAACCTTTCTTCCTCTTGGCTATTCTCCACACTTGTTATGGAGACTTGATGAGCTCATCATCTTAAGCCCCAGGAGAGATGAAGACTAAACCATTCTGAAACAAGGAAAGGAAAATGTTTGGGTTAGCTCTTTTTTTTTTCTTCTTTTTCTTTTCTTTTCTTTTTTTTTTTNTTTTTTTTTTTTGGTTAAAGCAGTTAACTTTTTATTTTAGTAGCTTTGCAAAATGTTCTGTCACTTTTACTCCACATTCGTAATGCATGAGTAGCACAGGTACAGCTGCTTGGTAAATAACCAATCATTCACTAAAGCATACCAATTTAAAATGCATTTATGGAAGGTTTAAAGCCATAATTTATGATAATGGCACAGAGAGCACAAATTAATTCCAAGTACAGAGGAAACAACTTGTTTCAAGTACAAAGACCAAATCCTTTTAATTTTTTTGTATTTGAAATTCTAACCACTGTAGCAAGTCCCTCATATTATTCTGCTGATCTTCCTTTATTCACTTTAATCATTTACTGTATGTTGAACAAACACAGACATTATTATTTCAGGGTAAGAATTGTCAGAATTATCTAAGTATCTCAAAGGAGCTCAAAGTCACAGGGTTTCAATAGATCTTGTATTCCCACTTTTCTTAAGGCCAGCAGGGCAGTAGGCACCAAGTTCAGCCCATGTCGAAATGTATTGTCCAGTCACTTATTTTTCATTTCTGAGCACAATCCTGGATTTATTGTATCAAAGGCATTCTAAAACCTTACATCATTTTGGCTAGAGCCCTCATCCTTGAGGGACAAGTCCAAACATTAGTGTAAGAGGCATATACAGTAGGTCTTTATCTCTGCCTTGGGTTTGTGTGTTGGGTATTTTTCAATTCATGGAAAAAATATAGGAACAACCTTACAGTTAACCAAGACTTAAAATCTCATGTTTCACAGAATCACAGATGTCTTTCCTCCTTGACCTGCTTAGTGAATCTGGAAATATCTTCCTCATCCTTCAAAGACTAAAAGAATCTTGATTCCTCTCCAGGAGTGGTATCCACTCCTGACTCTCTGCCAGACTACAGCAAGTTGCAGGGTCCTTCCTGAAGGCCTTTGAGGAGGACCAGAGAAATCTGGCAATTGCTAACCTAATTCCAACTCCTCAGAGAAAAACTGATACCTCTGAATAAAAAAATTAAATTAAAACACAAGTAACAATGAGTATAAATCTGATGGCTATTCATGGCTAATTCATATTCAAGCCACAAGAAACATTTMATGGTGCTAAATTGCCTCAAGGATTCTGGGATAAAAGAGCTGAAGAGATAAAATATAAATTTGTCTGTGAACAATCAAAAATCCTGGGATATTTGCTCTCATTACACCATAAATATGGCAATTCTTAATCCCATCTACTATGGTAACACCAGTGATGGCTAAACCACAGGAAGGATTATTCATTTACTACATTTCACTGGCATTTCTCTAACCATTTTCAGGACTATGTTACCCATCTACTGCGATTATGTTTGTACTTTATTCAATAGGAAAGACTAGATTTCACCMCAGAAGTTAACCAAGCAGCACTCAGTTAGGTCTCTTTTCACTGTTTGCAATTATCCCTGTTTCTACACTCAGCGTTATTCATAAATTGTCGCAAGAGCATGCAGAGGCCAAGCACAAGATCCTCCTTATGTTAGATGCTYGACTGACATGTCAACACAACATATATGTGTAATAGCTTACAATAAAAGCAGGTTAGTATCAGATCAGGTAATCATGYATTTACTCTGCTTTAGCAATTCTTTCATCTTCTCCCCTTGTTAGYAAGCCCACCTTCTGATGCCTGGYGTGAGCAGAATATTGCTCCCTACTMCAGTGACAGTAAAACCTGATTTTYGGAAATCTTTTAGATTATGTMTCTCTTATGCAGCCAGGTGTCYTCCGCCTGGCACAAAAAATGTATTTRTTTTCTGTGTRATCCTCCAGAAYATTGCTGTGAGCACCGGCTCARTCGAGAGAGTGGCGAATGGAGAAAGTACCGCAGGAGATGAGACAGCAGCTGGCAAGGAAGAAGAAAGCAAAACAGGACTTGTCAAGTTTGGATGGGTGAAGGGTGTGCTGGTGAGAAAATTATCCGTATTTCAAAAAAAAAAAAAATTAGAAGAAAATAAAATATTTTCTGTTACACTTAAGTCTTTTAAGARTTAAGAGAAGGAGGCAGACTTCAGGGAAAGTTGGGGTGCTTTTTAAAAGCCTGAAATGCACATTTTCACCCTTCTGGTTTTTAACATTACTTTCAACACTGAACTAATGCAGTAATTTTTCTTTAAAACCTAGGTAAGATGCATGCTTAATATTTGGGGTGTGATGCTCTTTATTCGACTTTCGTGGATTGTAGGTCAAGCAGGAATTGGTATGTATCTTATTTAATATCATTTTCAACAGTGAAAGGGATAAAGAGGATAAACTATACATGATCATGATTAATATATAATCTGAGATGTGCATTTGCATGTTGAACTGAATAATGTTTTCAAATGCTTGCCAGGGTAAAAGACATTAATCCTCCAAACTATTGGAATTTTCCAGACTCACAGCCAAATTACTGCTTAGAGGCATAGATCTGTTAACTATGCATATGATCATCACATTTGAATATTTCTAAGCTTTAGTGAAATTTGTATTTAGATCCTGTAACAGATGTAAACTTCATGACTTGGGCCAATTTCTAATACGTGTGTATAGAGTTAACCTTTAAGAGTTCACACTTTGCTTATCTGTGAAACTCAAACCTTGTCATGCACATATTATAAACAACACTTCTTCACACTTCTCTGCAAAGATGAAAACAGAACTGGAAGGAGTTCTCATCTCATCAGGATTCTATTATTTTTAACTACAGAACAGCACTATATCTAGTATATATATATACTAGCATACTATGAAAGACTAAGTTTTAAAAACTATATCAGCTTCCATATAAATTAAGTAAGTACATTTCATTGTATGCTGTATCTTTGCTTGTTCATTTTGGAATTTAATTAATCCCAATTCCAGATCCCATATCCCTGGGAGACTGGGCCCCAGGGCCTCCATCCAGTATACTGTTGAATGTTCAGTGAAACCCTGATCTTTGACTGGCACCCAGATGTTATTAAAAACAGCAATCCAAAGGCAGGATGGCAAGTATTCCAGTTTGGATGCTCACAGAATGGAAACATTCAGTAATATTAAGGAGTGCCAACTCTGCTGGGCTTGGATAAAAATCAGTGCTCAAAATCATATTGAATAAAAATATCATTCACATCCTTGTTAATGGAAGTGAAACGAAACATCTCCAAAACTTTGCATGGTTGAAATCTCATTTCCAGTAAAAAGCAGTAACTTCATAGAAGTTTTACTTGAGCAAGACTGAGCTTTTAATAAAAAGAGTAACAAATGAAATGCTTATTAAGAAAAAAAATCACAAACTTACAGAGACATAAATAGGAGAAGAAAAACTAACCCAACAATAAAAGACCCAGAACTAAGCGGAAGAACTTTACTACTTCTGYAGTGCTCCATGCATGGCTCCAGCACTGTGCCTGACAAAAGGGTGCTTTCTGATTTTATGATGCATACCAAATGAGCACATACAGCCCAGGGCACTCATAACTATATGCCTTGCCATGAAAATTCTGCATCTTAATATTGCCAAGACTTTGCTCTGGGGTTTCATGCAAAATTAGCTTTTAAGGGCAGTTTAGTAACTTATTGAGATCATCAAGAAGTATTACTTTGTTTTGAGGTGTGAGAATAGCCATAGGCGAGAGTAATTAATTTCAGAACAACTTACTTATGAGCCATATGCCTGGTTTTCAATCTAAACTTTAATCAGATTTTAGCATTAATTTTCACCAACATCAGTTACAACCTTTTTGCTCTCATTTTTAATTTTACCATTTTAACTCATTGATAAGCAGGCTCTTCTTTCTTATGGTTTATTGCTCTGCTGTTGCTTTTTAAAATTGCATGTGTTATGCAAGGGGGTTACTTTTACTTCTGAAAACGAGACGTCAAATTCTATTTGAATAATTTCTCAACATGTTTTTGGAATGCCTTATAAGCAATAAGCTCTAAGTCCCTAGCCAAGCTGCTTAAGGAGAACAGTGATGGAAGCTCATCATCACCAAGGCTCAGGGATTTCACTGGGTACTGCTACGAACATGGAAATTAAATGAGACAGTTAAACCACCATCTGGGCACCATTTATATCCCCATCATTAGAGGGCCAAAGAGAGACAACYCAATTATTTCCATATCCTGATAGTCTGTCTGTGGCAAAAGCTCTTATAGGGGAAAAAAGTAGGATTCCACAARGTTCTCAGGTTGTCATCAGCTGAAGAAAAGGGACAGTATGGTTCTGACAAACTCCAGGTCCAAAACCAGCCTGGTATTTCCACCTAACATCTGAGGACTCTATGAAGTCTGTATCTATGGATGGAATGGTTTGCCAATGGCAGGGAAAAACACCAAGTTTATGGTACCTTGGGAGGTCTAGTTTGTACACAAAGAAAAGCTTTTTTATTGGGTAAATAGTCTAGCCCTGAAACAATCTCTTCATTTAAAAGCCAGGGTGTGTGTTAAAGGTAGATACAAGCATCCATGTCAAGGGACACTTGTTTGTTCATTTCCTCCATCCTTTGGAAATCATAAGAATTTCTGGATAGGGTACTCCTATCAGAAAAAACCACTGCTTGAAGACTGATGGGAATAATTTATTATCGTGACATGGACTTCATGAAAATGTTCTGCAGGCTGCAAGTGGTCAGCAAAYCTTCTTTTCAGTTTATTGCTCTGATTCTGGCCTGAAAATTCAATTTAAAGAGGGGATGATTTGTTGGAAACATGGAACATAAGTAAAATATTTTATCTTCTTATTACTGACAGGTCTTGGAGTAATCATAATTCTTCTCGCCACGATGGTAACCTCAATTACTGGGTTGTCAACTTCTGCAATAGCAACTAATGGGTTTGTCCGTGGAGGTAAAAATCATAGGGTTACTAATGCTTTCAAGTCCCAGAAGGTATTTATGTATTATTTTTGTATGAGACAAACCAGAGGGTCTATAAACCAAAGGGCACATCTGAAGGAACTGGAAGGTAATAATTCTAGCCACTTTTCATCACAATTTAAGGCGTTTGAGTCGTCACTTCTAATAAACCATGGATTTCAGTTCAGTCTGAGAAGTACATTTCAGATGTTCCTGCCAACTGCTGAGCAACGGATGGTTCTGGCTTTTCATGGTGTTCTTTTACCTTTCAGCCRGTCTTTCCCATTCAGAGCATTCCAAGTTGGACATTCTTCAACAAACTGAGCATGAGACATCTCTTCCTGTCATTTTAAAGACTGATGCAGATGAGTGGACATCTTCAGTTTAATGTTTTCTTTATAACACTCCTTACATTTCAGCCCTTCCTTGGAAGATGGGTGACTAATTTTGCTGTAAAAGTCAGGTATTTCATGAAACAAAGTTTTAGTGCATTTCAGAGCCTTTAAGTCATAACTGGTCTGGTCTAACCCCTGTGGAAAATGGCAAGTTCTTACTGCGCCACTGAAGYGGAACAGGTACTGGAATCCATTTGCATGTACTTTCTTTTTCGGATCTTTCAGGTCTTGGAATCATAGTTATTGCTCTGAGTGTAGTAGTAACAACATTGACATGTATCTCCATGTCTGCCATTTGCACTAATGGAGTAGTAAGAGGAGGTAAGTGAATATGATCTCATGAAAATACAAAAATCTGTAGATTTGAATTAGAAAAATAAATGGAATTGMGCTGTGTTATAAGCAAAGAAATTATATATACATATACGCAGTGATTTCTCCCAGTTGATCAGCAAGAAATTGAAAAGTGTATAGATTTAATGCAAAAAAGATTAATGATTCACTTCATCACTATGAGGCAGGAGCTTAAACCATGCAGCACACAATGTGACCTTTCATGCTAACATTGGGAWAGATCCATGTAAGTTAGAACCTTTTTGGAAGTGAGGTTCTATCTCCTTTGTGCTACTGTATCATCCATCATGAAAAATTATAACAAGGTGCRCTTTTGCTTGCTAATATGCATTAAAAAGATTGCTGGAATAGAAAGACATACCGAAAAGTTTGAAGGTAGAGCCAGTACAAAGCACATGGCTTTTTTGCAGAGTCCCCTATCAATATAGGGCAAAGACTGATGATATTTGTGAGATTAAAAGCATAGATTTCAGCAGTAACAGTTATATGGGGCAAGGGGGAAAGCAAAAACTGAGTATTCAGTTGTGCTGGAATAACAATAATTTCTGTCTGCAGGTGGAGCATACTATCTCATCTCCAGAAGTCTGGGCCCAGAGTTTGGTGGATCTATAGGACTTATCTTTGCCTTTGCGAATGCAGTGGCTGTTGCCATGTATGTAGTTGGATTTGCTGAAACAGTTGTGGAACTTCTTAAGGTAAATGTAGTGTTTCTGTGTATGATTAAATTGGTTTAGTTTTGATTTGTATGGGGTTTTTTTGGGGGGTGGTGATAGTGGAGTTTGTTTTACATAATGTATTTGCTTAAGCGGTGATACCTTTTAGTTAAGGCTTGAGGGACATCTTTAGCAGGGAAGAAGCTGGTCTGTCTAAGAACACAGAGTGCTTCTCCATTATTTCTACCTTTRGAATATATTTCATACAATCCTTGACAAGGATCTCAAAATCAGAAGAGGAACAGACATCCAATTAAAGACAGCCAAAGACAGACATCCATTAACAGACAGCCAAATAACCCCAACTGTAAAAAACAGCTGGAACGTGACACACACTCTGTCTCACAAATCTCKGAAACTTTGACAGCTGACTGCTTTCTATTTCACTTTGTTACTTGATCCCACTAGTTGGGCAGAGAACGTCTGGTTCTAATAACATTTATTACCTCTTTCAGGAAAGTGATACACTGATGGTAGATGAGTCMAATGACATCAGAATCATAGGGACCATAACTGTGGTGTGTCTTCTKGGCATCTCTGTTGCTGGCATGGAATGGGAAGCAAAGGTAAAYGCTTAAAAGAATATAAAAGCAAGCAGTATATTAACCTGTTATACAGCATTTGTGTGTGAGGAATGCTATTCARCAGATGGAATTTTCAAAAGCACTCAGTTTCAGTTTATGCTTAATCTTTCTAAAAGCAAGAGCAGTTTAATCATTACATTCAATGAAAGAACAATCACTCCACATTCTTCCTTGAACATACATTTAAAAGCAAAGAGGAAGTTTATGTTTTGCAGACAGCTTGCTTATATTGATTTTTATAATTCATGGCATCATTTACAGCCTTGGCTATGTGCTCTTTTTGCCCTTATTTTTGATGCAGCTGGATAGAATAAACAGTAGTAAAAASAACATACGGTTTTATCACTGTACTCTCTCAAGCCCTATTCAGCAGAAGAGCTCTATTTGTTACCCATTCCTTAATCTCTAATTATTTCTGCTTCTCCTTCACCTGTGAAAAAGGTCAGAATGCAAATTCAAATGGAAATACTTTGGAGAGTGGAATACAGCTATGGAAATCAGGTCCAGAAAACAGGTTCAACAGCACCCTTGTTTTTGCATTATGCTATGATGGAGACTAGAACAACTTGTAAAAAAAAATCAGAAAACAATTTGATACTATAACCTTTAAAGTGACAATCCCCTGCAACTAAAAAATTTGTAACAATATAAAAATGTCTCATACTTGATATTAATGCATTAGCTGTTCCATTTTGCAAGGAAGCTAACCTAAAATTAAATTATAGCTCTGTATTTCATCACCCCTTGAGTCAAAAGCATCTAATATTGTCATTAGCTGATTCAGCTATCTTAATTCCTGGTACTTTCAAAAACWATAGAACTTAATAACCTATCATAGGGAACACATACAGACAATTTACTATATAGCCATCTCCACAGCAACAAAGTTAAAACCATCAGGAAAATCCTTTTGTTTCTATTAATAGGCTCAAGTTATTCTTCTGATTGTTCTCCTTATTGCCATTGCAAACTTCTTTATTGGGACAGTCATTCCTACCAACACTGAAAAGAAGGCAAGAGGCTTTTTTAATTACCAAGGTAAGCAACCTTCCTAGCTATCATAAAATTATATTTGCATTCTTTTGGCTTAATAGTAAGTTAAAGATTCCACTGAAAAAAAGTCCTAAGATCAGAATCTCCTGCCTACGTTTAACTGAGCTTGCAAACAGAAGGAATGGATTTCATCTTTAATTTTGTGCCTGTCTCTCTGCTGCTGCAGCTGACAGCACAATAAGATGCAGCTTGAGTCATTTATACATCAGGAGAGCACAGACAAACTTTAACAYAGAGCCAAGTGCAAGTGCTGCAGTGACGCTTCTGTCATTTCAACATGGATCTGTAGCTCTGAGATGCAGACAAGCACGTCCTTCTGGGGACCAGACTAAGGAAATCAAATTCACTTTGCTTATGGTATGAGACAGATTCAAACTCAGTTGTCCAGATGTGAAAGACTGCCTTATTCACCTTCTTCATTAAGTAACTTTGGCATCAAATCCTGTTGGTATATTTCTTTTTCACCTGTATTTGCAGGATCAATATTTGCAGAAAACTTTGGACCAGATTTCAGAAGTGGAGAAGGATTTTTTTCGGTGTTTGCCATTTTTTTCCCAGCTGCCACTGGCATTCTTGCAGGAGCCAACATCTCAGGAGATCTGAAAGTAAGTATTTCATTAACTTCAAGCTGTAGGTTGGAAACAGAACAAGAAAACCAATCACGAATCAACACTGTATTCAGTTTTAAATCATGTCTCATTTTGTGAAGCAAAGCTCTCTCTTTAAAGTACCTGCTTTATTATTTAAAAACATCAATTMATATTTTCTTTCACAATGCATTATGGCTATTACAGAAATTACTGTAGCTAGACAGGTTTCAATAATCTGTAATAGTATATCATTAATGGTCCATTAGCAGTTTATGATATAAGAAAAATTACATGCGTATGTCTTGGAGCTTGTCTTTTATAAAAATCAATCCAAACATCATTCCAAAATACACACCTGGAAAGCTCATGTTTGTACTCACAAGAATCAGTGGAGACCAGCTTTTTGTATTCAGGGTCACAGCAAGRGCAGAGCAAACAGAGCATTTAACAAAAGTAAGAATGTCCCAGTCCCATGTCACTATGGCTGCTCAAAGGAAAAGCTGCGAGTCTGCAGCTGCGACAAAAAAAAGGAGTCTGAAAAGAAAGGGAAAGGAGGGAAAGAGTGTCCAGTTATGTTGCTGTGGCCATTCTATAAGTTCCCCCATCTCCTCTTGCAGTTTGGCAGCTACAAGAGAGAATTTCCAGTATCTAAACACAAAGGTAAATCAGAGACAGGAATTTAGTTTTGAGTGCCCTMTAGTTTTCATAACAAAAACATTCAAAAAACCACCAAAAAAGAAAAAGAAGTCACCAACAAGACGTGGCTCACAGCTCGATAACATCAGCATGTCCAATGAAGTTGTTCGGCCTTATCCTGTAAATCCATTGCCTTGCGTACCTTAAGGATTCAACCAAAGGTCTGTCATTTCTGTATTGGCACAACAGTCACACGTTCAGATCCTACCACCCCTGAGAGCCAATTCTCTGTCCCTTCCTCATCCTGAGCTGCACGCCTCAGCTCCTTTGTTTTCAGAGCACTGCTTTTCAAGCCAAGCACAGAGAAAATATGTGGAAACTGAGCCACTGATAGCGGCTCAAGAGRGATTCCATTAATTAAAAAATGAAAAACCATTGTACTTCTGCCCAGTGAGACTGAATCAGCCTCACACAATCTCCATCCTTTTATCAAATAAAAAATAATTCTTTTGCCATATATGGTGCTCTGTCTGCATGGCACACCCTAAATTGTAATGTTATCTAGCATTAAAAATCTCTTTCAAATGTACAGTGCAGATCTTTGGACTCTTACTTAGAGTTGCATGATGGAAGCTGATACTGCTGTGAGCTATGCTGTAAGCATTACAACCCAGCCTTGTAAAATTATCTAAATTAAGTCAATACAGTGACAGAAAAAGGCTGTTTTTACCCAACTAACAATTACTGGTTGCAAAGCACAGAAGTGCTGTATTCTGTACAGGGTGACTACATCTATCTTGCCAATTAACCAAAGATGGTCCCATCTTGTCATCCACAAGAGTCTGATAGTTCAGTAACGATTTACCCACTACATCAGTAAACATTAAAATAAAGCCAATTAAAATGTAAAGAGAGTTTGGAGTTCTCAGAAATGCAGAGCTCAGGACCCTCGTCTGCAGATATAACTGTRAGCTCTGCTCCTGCAGAATATCCTTAACCATGTGCAGGGTAGGTTCACAAGCTCACAAGCATCACAAGCTCACTGCTCTGTCTGCATGCTGGGACCAGAAATGTTGGCAGGTCAAAGTGATAAAAATCTGCTAAGGGTATTTTTGTACCACAGTGGGCAGAACTTGCAGCATGCAAATGCAAGCAGCACACAAACTCACGGTGTTTCTCATGTCACTGCTTTATTTAAGGACCCACAAATTGCGATACCCCAGGGAACAATGCTGGCCATTGTGATCACCACCATTGTTTACATCGCTGTTGCAATATGTGCAGGTAAGTACAGAACTCCTGCTTCATGTCTTTACTTGCACAGTGAAGTCAGAAAGCTTGGCATGCAAATGAATGATTAACCTCACTGCTTTTTCATCCTGAAGGTTTATTATGTAGAGAGACAGTGGTTTGGATTTTACTGTATGTCAAAATAGTGGTTAAAAAAAAAAAAAGCAGCAATCAGTAGAAATAAAAGTCCCCATTTGGTAGCTCGACCTTCAGATAACTTGTATGGTTATTTTTGCATTAGATTCAGTGACAAAGACCACCAGCATACAGTATCCATGAGCACAATAAAGACCAAAGRAACTTCKGATCAATCTGCTCATCTTTTGTTCMTGGTTCACACTGAAATTTCACATGGCTTCTGCTTGCATTCACTAGTCTTACTAAGCACTCACGAGAATCACAGGAACTGGGTAACACACACATTTTGTGTGTTATTTATCAAAGACAAAAATCTGTTGCCTCTCTTAAAGGAACTACACAAGTACATCTTCTACAGTATTGGAATGTGAGGTAACAAAATGGACACCAGTAAAAAGGAGACTTGTACTGAGGCTGTGAACTGTGTTGGAGTTAAATTCTCATTAAAAGCATACAATGAATCTCTAGTCAAGAAAAATAATTTTCTTTTGGTATTTAATGGTATTGTAAGAAAGAGGGTTGTAAACAACAGTCTTTCCTATGAGCAAATACCTCAATGCCACAAGAAAGGCCTGCAGAGCTCCTGTTTCAGGGAGATGACTCTCAAGTTTTCTTGATTTCTGTRGTTCTTGGACTTCATGCATAAGGCAGAATACTTGACTTCAGCCTCAGATCATGTTGAATTATTTGGATCTAATTTTCCCCTGCAATTAATACTAAAACAGTCATTCTTCACTTTCTTTTATAAATTCACTTTATAAAAGTGAATTGTTTGTTTGAGAACATTGCATTGGTCTCACAAGCTGTATTTCAGCTTCAGAGCTGTGTATTTTTCAGTGCAATACTTTCTTCCTCCTTTTTTTTAAATTTTCTGCTTACATGTTAATTTCCTAAATACCCAAAGGTTATKTTGGGACCCTTAACATTTTTGACAAATTTGTAAGATATTATATAAACTTATATTTTGGCCATTAAAGATATCAATAAACACGAAAAGAACCCAGGCAATTTCTCCTATTCAAAGCTTTCCTCATCATATTGGTATCAGCAGGGCTATGGCAATGTAAGCAACAGAGGATCTGGGTTTCTAAAGCAATTTTGTGTCCTTGTTACACAAAAAAAAGGATTTGCSTAGACCTAAGACCCTCACTGACCTGTTTGTTCTGAAGATTGGCACATGTCAAAATTGTGACAGGAAGACAATAGACTTCTGAGTTWGTCAATTTATTGTTGATCTCCTTCTGGTTCTCTAATCTCAGAAATATGCTAATCCTTATCAGTCAAGTGGTTGATTATTTTACAAGTATCAGAAGCAAGTATTTGCTCACAGACACCATGAGAAACTAAGTCACAGTACAGGAAGAAATCCCTGCCCAACATAAAATTCTTTGGGATGACTCTCAGGCAGCAGTTGTACAAAAGGTGTGCAGTTTAGGAGTCAAAGTGTGGCAAGAACATTCTTTCAATGTCACAAGGAAGCAAAATAAAAATACATCATTGTTTCCACAGCCTCCTGTGTTGTACGAGATGCTACTGGGAACGTCAATGATACAATCGTACCTGGAATGAGCTGCAATGGATCATCTGCCTGTGGCCTAGGCTATGATTTTTCCAGATGTGCAAGTCARCCATGTGACTACGGGCTGATGAATAATTTTCAGGTTTTAATGAGATCATATGCATTATCATATAAGCATATATTAGCGTAATAAGCAATACATGAATATATAAGTACAAATATGCAAAACTATTATTTGCAGACAACTAACTACAACAGGACAACCTCTCCTGTCTTAAAAAGTAAAGAATTGTAGAAATGATGAAAGGCAAAAATCCCCTGCATTCCACATTTACCTTCATACTGCCCATCACTACCTTTCTAACACTTTGGTAAGGTCTTTATCTCCTCTTTTAACAAGTACCRTGCAGCAGTGGATGTTGTAACATCTTCAAACTGAAAGCACAGACTTAACAGACACCTCAGGAACTCCTGCTAGATGAGCAACTCACCTCACTGCTCTTGACACATGGATATGATTTTACCTCAGGGGTGCTGTGGTCACTGTTAAAGGGYTGTGTCACAGTACAAAAACCAGAGCTCTGACTTCTTAAAAAAAAAAGTATCCAAAAATAGTCGAGTGAAAAATCAAGTGAGAAGTCATGGAGTCTTTCTCCTAGGACAGAGAGAGACTGTCTGCCATTTTTATTCTTCAAAATAAAGCTTAGGCTAAGCATCAAAGTAAAGYAGTTCTGCAGCACGACAGCCACAGCTCCTAGATCTCTGTTCAGCCCCTGTGCTTCACAGCCAGTGAGACGAATTCACCACMCACCTGTACATGCTTTTCAACGACTCATCTGTAGCTTTTAAGTAACTTGCTTTTTTCCCAGCTGGCTCTGCTAAATGACAGGGCTGGGTAACCACCTTAAAAGGGATATGCTGTCCCTTTCACAGACTACTTTCCCTTCCTTTCTTTATCATTTACCATCCATACTCCAATCTCAGTTCAGCTGCCCACACTCAAGACATCCCTTAAAATCAGTCACCTCCCTACAGCCAAAGTTTCACTTCTTGCGTTTAACTCTGCCGGACTAGAGCCAGCAAACAGTACATCTTCATCTGACAAATCCTCAGRATTCACTGCTTTCTTTCCTGAACTTCCTCCCACACACCAAAAAGCATCTGGCAATCACATCCATCCATCTTTTGGTTTCCTTGTCTGGTGCTTCCCAACAACCCTTTTGCTTCAGTAGGCACAGAGGACAGCTCAATGCCCAGGGAGGGCTGAGAGAGGCCTGACAGTGACCATCACTACTGTCACMGCAGTTATGTCAGCACAATCAGGCATTTTCTCTCATTTTTAGCCACATTGAATAATCAGGGAAAACAAAAACTCAAACAAAAACAAAGGGCCTCCAACTACATTTCATACTTTGGTGCTTTTTCC